AATTTGTCCCTTCTTTCTCTTCCCCCTTTCTCTTCCCATTGCCACTTCTGCCACCTGGACTGTTATTTTGGCCTCTTGTTGCCTCGTCTTCCATCTGGTACTTAGTCATCAGAAAACTGAACACAGACCCTTTTTCTAGGCTGTGTGATCATATTTTTTTATTTTTCCTGGATTCTCCATTTCTACCTGTTAATATTAGCACTTAAGGCTATGGCTCCTCACATCCTTGTTCCCAGAGTGCCCCAATACACTCACTCACTGTCCTCAGGTGTGCCATGAAGTTTAGATGTCAGCTCCAGCTGAACTCTCTTACCTCATGTCACCAGCATAGCGAGCCTCCCAAATTTGGAAAACTATTGTTAAAGTCTCTAAAAATTTCTCAGCCTCTCATTTATACCATTCATTCATGTAGTTTATCCATCAAGAATTTATTGAATACAAATTTTGTTCCAGCAGTCGTGCTTCTGCTTAAGGATTCAAAGACTGATTAAGATGAACATGTTCATCTCAGGAGCTGATAGTACTGAGAGGCTGAGAAGAATAATTATTAACATGCAGATAAGCACAACCCTGAAATTTATGCTAAGGACCATGAAAGAAAAGAACATATTGCTCCTAATCAGAATGGTTAGTTAAAATGGTCCCTGATTTAGATGAAGCACCTACTTTCTGTGGGGTGATGGGGAGAGAAAATCACTTTCAAAGAAGTAACAGGTTAGGTGAGACCCAGAGAATATAAAATAGCCAGCTAAGGAAAGTGTAGCATGGTGGGAATGGGGCCTCTAAGCAGAATAAATAGCATTGCAAAGGTTTGGGGCTACAAGGCACCTGAGACTATCAAAGGCAAAACAGAACTGCAGCGGGGTTCTACATCTGGGGCCACATGAGTGCAGCCAGAGTACGCTTCTCGAGGCTGGTGGGCAGGGCCACATAATGCAGGACCTAGAAGGCTGTGGTAATGATTGTGGTTTTAAGGGCAATGGGAAGCAATTGAAGTGTTTTTAAGCAAGAGAATGACATGAGCTTATTTGAGGTTGAGACTTCCATCTGTTCATCAAAATGTGTTTGCCTCTTCTCCCTGGGCATACAGCCAGATTACATTTCCTGGCCCTCTTCACAGTTGGCCGTGAGCCATGTAACTGTATCCTACCCAGGGAGTACAAAACTTGTAAATATCATAACTAGGACTGGCTCGTAAAAGTCTCCCATGGGCTTCCTCCTTTTTCCTGCTGAATGGGCAGACTTTGGACCCATATGGAAATGGCAGAACCACTGTCAGACTGGACCCTCACACCTAACTGGAGCAGGATCCAGCCCAGCTGACTGGATCCTGAGTCTTCATTTGAGCACGAAAGAAGAAGCCCTGATGTTTTGAGCCTGATGTGCTCAGCCCATTTGTTAATCACATCCTGGTTAGTCCAGATTGATATAATATTTGAAAGGTCAATCTTGGTGAAGACTGAGACTTGTCAACAATAGCAGTTGTCGACGTTAAAGTTTATTGCAATGTGTTCCATGGAAATTTTGGTTGAAATAGATACTATATAATTGTGGATAAAACATCATTATGTCTTACTGATATTCTGCTCTGTGTAGTGAGATTATGAAAGGGGGAAAAATCTTACTGCATTTGATTCTCAACTCTAGTATTAGTATCACTCACTTTCTGGACTTTCCATAGCATACCCCATTGAATACCTTCAGGCATGTATTTATTATACTAGATTCAATCAACTGGAGGGTGGATGAGCTAAATCTTGTATTTCTTATTTTCTCTATGTCTAGTGCAGTACTTTTTTCATTAAACTTTGCTTACAGTAATGAATAAGTACTGACTCTCAGATTTCTTACCCATTGAGTTATTGGAGGTCATGTGCCAAGTGTCTAGCAAAATACCTGACATTGGGTACTTTATAAAGGAAAGAGATTTATTTAGCTCTAAACCATAGCACCCATCTCATAGCATGGTAGAGAAACAGAAAGGGAAATTTGCTGAGATCAGAGAGGGCCAAGCACATGGGGTACCTCACATTAAGAAAACAATCTGCTTTCTTAAGAACAACTTGATTCTCTAAAAACTACATTAACCCCTCCTGAGGGGTTTGCCCCCGGCCCCATTCCACTTCCAGTAGACTTTGCCTCTTAGAGACCCATGACTGCTAAATGCTGTTGTATTGGGAACCAAGCTTCCAGCACATGAGCCTCTGGAAACATACTCAGACCCTGTCTAAACTATAGCCCCTGTCTCTTGCCTTACCACTGATACTGCCTCAACCTGTCTTAAATATGTTTTGATTTCTTAGGGCGGTGTTTAATTTTATTAGATTTTGTTTTACCTGTGATCTAGGAGGGAATGTAACATCATGGGGTCTGAGAGTCGAGCGTTTGCGTAGATGGTATGGAGAAGTGTTTTCAGAAGGCACACGGGCTCACTACTTTAAGTAGGTTGTGCATTGCTCAAAGCTGCTGTTTCAGTGGCTCTATTTCTACCCAGAGTCAGGAACTCATCTCGGAAAATTGATAGAAACTACAAAAAGTCTCAAAGTAGTGAGTTTGTGTAACTCAAATGAACAACGATGAGCATCTAACTAAGAAAGCATTAGTGGAAAAGAAGGTTGGGAGAAGAATGTAGAAGACTGCAAAATACAGCAACTGAATGGATTTGGGGCCAAGAAAGGATTAGAATAATGATGAATAATGAAATTCCCATGCAGATTATTTTAGTCAGCTTTGTGTTGCTGTGACCAAAAGACCTGACAAGAACAACTTAAAGGAGGAAGGTTTCTTTTGGTTCATGGTTTCAGAGGTTCAGTCTATGGTTGGCTGACTCCATTGCTCTGGGTCCAAGGAAAAGCAGAACATCATGGTGAAAGGGCATGGTGGACAAAATCAGCTCAGGACACAGCAACTAGGAAGCAGAGAGAGCTCTGTTCACTAGGGACAAAGTCCAAACCCCAAAGGTATGTCCCCAGTGACTAGCCACCTTCAGCCAAACCCCACGTGCCTAAATTACTACCTACTTAATCCATATTAGTGGGTTAATCCACTGATTGAGTTACAGCTCTCACAATCTAACCATCTCACCTACAAATATACAAACACTCCTGCATTGTCTCACACGTGAGCTTTTGAGGAACTCCTCATATCTAAACCATAACATTTTGATGCCCATCAACTTAAAAAATTCAATTATGTATATCAGTAGATTTATATTCTCTAAGATAAAGACAATTAATTCTTCCTGCTAAAACAGAAACCGAACATTTTAGTGTTTTATTAACTTGTTCTATGTTTACTGTCTTTGTGTTTAGTATGGGTGTGTTTTTTGGACATTATTGACCCATTCATACTGAACAAGGGCAAAAGCCATGAGAATTGAAATTGCTGATAATAAGAGCCATAAAATTATGCCCATAATGATGAAGAGATTAAAATAGAACTTGTAAAGCATGAGAGAAATGGTGGAAATTTCATTTACAGGGGACACGAGTCTCTTGACAGTAGGAACAACACTGAACAGGGAAGAATTAATCATGCCACAAGTGAAAAGCACTGCATTTCACAGTGCAGTTGTAGGTTAAAAAAAATTAAACAAATGAGAAAAAAGACCCCACAAATATTGGAGTGTGCCTTTAGAAGACCAGCATTATTTTTGAATGCTACTAACTCAGTTGGTTTTTTAAATGTGAAGTCCAGTAGTGGTTCAGAACGTAGCACCAAGTACGGTGGAGAGCCTCAGCCATGTTTTCTCTTTATATGTACATGCATCAGTGTAGGTGTAGAAGTGGCATATGGAGAACCCATAACTTCTAAAACTGTCCCTGTGAGATGAACACAGGAGGAGCAGGAGTAGAGCACAGATGGTGGTAGAAGTGAGAATAGCAAGGAGGAGATAGATTTGTATGCAAAAGAAAAGATATAGGCTCAGTCTTTTTTATTTTTTGCTGGAAATATTTACTCTTTGATAAGGGTGGTCACCTTTCATCTCTGTGTTGACACTATAATGACAGAGACATTAGTACAATACTAGAAGTGGTGAGAAACGCTTCTCTTGCCTGTGTTCCGTAAGAGTCTCTGGCCTCATATGTGAAAACACAGAATAAATTAGGGGCCTTAGGAAAAAATTATACTTTACTTAAAATTTGATATACCTTTTCAAAGTAAATTCCAATTTACATAGCAACACATTGCTTACTCAATTTTGTTTTCAAGTAAATGTGTTGATTTTTAAATTAACACTACAGGTTACTGTATGACCTTTAAAGTGGAAGTATTGGCTTCAACTTCTTGACTTTAATGTGTTTTTTGATATTTAAGGAAGAACACTTTTTACACAAAATCATTTGTTTTCAACTATAGCACTGGATATATTTTGTTGATTTCTGACTAATTAAAAAGATGAAGTAGGGTTGGGAAAATACAGCCAATCCAGATGGAAGGAATGGGAGAGAACGGATAGGTTTTTCAGTGTAAACAAATGTGGCTGAAGAGGAAAAATGTAATGTGGGGTGTGTGTGTGTGTGTGTGTGTGTGTGTGTGTGTGTGTGTGTGTGTAATCATGAAGATGGATTAAGGTAGTATAAATGTGAGTTAACAAACATCCTTAACATGCATGGACAGCAGCTCCATGATAGGTTATTATGGGAAATTAGAGATGAAATGAAATTCCATAAGATTTCTTTTGTGAATAAAATAATATGTAGAATATAAATATATTTTTTTTGCAGTCTGAGGAAATAGATACATAGTATGACTTTTTTATTCTTATGTAAATTTTGTATTCTACCTTGTATGATTTTTTCATTCATGTCATATTTGAATTTATACCTTATGTGTATTACTGATACTTAATAGGTTAACCATTTTAAATTTATAGCCAAATGTGGAAAGAAAAAAATATTGTTTTCCCAAATTATATTCTTGCCATTTAAAAAGATATACTTGTGAGCTGAAAATGATAGTACTTCTTTTTTTAAATTAACATTTTATGTTTTCTCTAGGCTGGAATGATAAAAAGTGAGAATGAAGAATATTTCATTGAGCCTTTGGAAAGAGGTAAGCAGATGGAAGAAGAAAAAGGAAGGATTCATGTTGTCTACAAGAGATCAGCAGTAGAGCGGGCGCCCATAGACATGTCCAAAGACTTCCACCATTACAGAGGTAGGAATCTCTGACTAGACTTTATAATTAAACATATTAAGATACAATGAAAACGACCCTCTCATCATGAGTATAGAGAATATAATTGTCATGTACTCTTGTGTAATGTGCACGTGGCAAAATAAGTTTATATATCATGAAATGTGAATTTTCTTTTTAAAATGCATGAGCATATTTGATGGGTATTATTTTATTCCAGTCTATTAGTATATCTCCAATATGTTTTCATGATTACTTTTTAAAGTTTTATTTTAAAACGGTTTTAACTAACTTATGTTAAAATTTGAAAATATTTATGATTTCCAGAACTATCTAAGCTATGCATTATTAGTGTTATTTTTATAAGATCTGAAATGACATATAGTGGCACAACAGAGATCTGTGTTTTAAGACTACTGTGATAGCTATATTTGAAAGTAATTAAACTCTTTGACTTTATAATTTGTTTTGCAAAACTTTGTACTACTAGAAGGAGAATTCTATAGAATAGTAGAATTTTTTCTCAAAATAGGCTGGAGCCAATAAAGTGAACTATGGCACATGGAAATTTTCTATTTTTTTTTTCCTAATGAAATCTGAAAATGAATCAACATTAAGAAGATTGTCTTATATGTTACTTACTGAAGTTTCCTTTGTGGAAAAGAAAGAAAACTTAGGAATTTACATTTTTTACCAAATCTATATTTCTTTTGCTTGCCCAACTTTCTGAATTCAGGAAATTTCCTTGAAGAACATATGAGGGATAGAGACAGTTTTAATTACAGCATTAATTTGGCTCACAGATTACCTTTTGTGATTTGCTATGTAGTTATTAGTTTGATTTTCAAATACTACTGGCTTCCCTTCATCGGCTGCACTAATGAAATAGATCTTGTATGGTTCCCTTGAGCAGTATGTAATGTCCATCTTTATCCCCTTTATCCAGTAAAAGATCTTTAAAATGAATACAGCCTGAACATTTTTGAGAAATTTCTGTTTTGAAGAAAGAGAACTATGTTAATAAATGCAATGTTATGAAATATGTGCTTAACTTAAGTCATTCTGGTGTAACAGAACTGGAATGAGCTACACAGGCTGACTGTGAATAATAATTGTGAAACCATTTCGGACACTGTGGCTGTCCTCCTGTTGCTCCATCTGTCATAACTACAGGTCCACCAGGATGTACTCTATATCAATTCCTGAAGGTGTCTATTTCTGTAAATATTAGTCCTGTTACTTTTTATTGCTGTGATATTTACAAAAGGGAGAAATTACTTTTTCTGTGAAATAAGGAAATCACAAGACATTATTTTAATACCTATTGTATTTTTAGATAATGGAATAGGGAAAATTTTATAGTCAAGATGTATAACTTTAAAAGGATCACATGGGATTAAGGAAAATTGGAACATTATTATAGGAAATTATTAAAAATATCGGTTCCAGTAGCATGAACATGTTCAGTTTACAGTAAGGGTTATTTTTAAGAATGCAGACACTAAAGACTTTTGTTCTTCAGTCATGAAAAGAGGATTGCCTTATGGTAATAGTTGGCCAAAGAGTAACACATTTTGGAAAGGTTTTTAATTTTCATTGGCCATAGGTCAAAATAAATGGAATTCCTTTGTTAACTCTCAGTTACCTTCAATCTTGAACCAAAATAGAGTCCCTCAGTTCTCTTAAATAAATGTTCCAAGATGAACTTTAATGCAAACTTAATGGTTTTTTATTTTATTACTTATGAGATTTTAATTGAATTATGTTATGGGTAACATCAGTTTACCTTCTTTGAGAGTCTTAAACTGTGACCACCATATACATTAGAAATGTAACTTCTTGAGGGCAAATCCCAATTCAGAAGTTCAAGTACTAAATTTCTCACATTCCTCTGTCTCAAGATTTTATTTTAAGAGACATATGAGTCTTCAGTGAGTTGTAGTAAGAGGAATAAGATACTTGAGCTAAGGCTTACCTAGAAAGAAATGCATTGAGAACCATGTCTTCATATTTTTTTTTCTGACAGCAAGTCATCAGAAGAAATATTGATTATAAGCAAGCCATTCCTTACCCTGTGGGGTTTTGTTAGTGGGCCCCTATGATACTCTGTCATATTTTGCTAGTTATCATAGTACTTGCCTGGCTATATTTCTTACTTTGACAGTTAAGCTGCTACGAAGTATCTTAGATTTAGCTGTTTACTTTGTTGTGAATGTTCTAAGTTAAAACAGATTAGGAACTGAATTGGATAAGTAGAAGGGATGGAGTGATGGAGCCATATTGAACAGAGATTGAAATAAACACTGAAATTATGAAGGTTTGTGATGGAGAAGACCTCGAGGGTGGGGGCAGGGGAAGAGGAGAAGTAATCAAAGATCACTCAGAATTCTAACCTGTAGTACTTGAGAATTTTCTTTCTAGAATTAAGGTATATAAAAACAGCAACAGAAATAGGTTTGTTGGAAGCTGACAGGTGGGTATGATTTTAGAATAAACTTGATGATCTATTGGAACAGCAAGCAAATTGAAAAATGCATAATGTATTTTCGTAATCCTGTCCAGGGGCTTTACATGAATGACATTGAATACCTTACATACGTTTGTAGTAGGGATGAGTAGAGATTAGCTTGGGAGGCAGGTATCAGGTATTGCCTTGCAGGTGCTTGGAATGTCTCTGCTTGACTTTTTGTGCTCTTGTTCCCAACTGTGTCACAGCATCTGAAGGTGCACATGGCAAAGTATTGGAGGTACATGAAAGGCACTTGTTACTTACCACTATAGGTGAGGAGGAAACTATGCCCTAAGAGACGACAGTAATACTAGAATTCTAATACTAGATTCATAAAGTTCACCTCCGCTATTTAAAAAATTGGTATTTTTACCACACTCAGGAACCCTATGCTCTTGATCTTGGTCAAGTGCAAACATGTATTTTCATTCCCTATCTCCTAAAAATATTCATCTGAGTTTCTAATAAAAGTCACAGCTTTGAACCTGATGATAGAATGTATGATGTGTTTCAACAAGAGAAAAAAACCTCAACCAATTCAATATATAGTAGATTTCTGTTTCCTTGACTCTTAAAAGGAAAGCTGTATTCTTTTGAGCTGTGCAAAAAATTTGAAGAGCTGTTTAGAAATACACTGAAGTAACTAGTAAAATCAGAGATGCAGTGCTCTGCTTTTGTAGATTTACTGTTTCCAAAATGAGATCTAAAGCACTTTTACATCGGACAGTGAAAATCCTGGTCAGTATAGAGCCGACAGGTGTTCATTACATGAGCACAATCAGTGTCTGGCACTATCTTTTAGTTAAGACAACAAACATAAACTTGTCTAGTTCATCACAGTGGGAGAGTTTACTTCGTTTTCTTCTCTGATGTCTGCTGTAGGGTTATGGAAATCACATCCATTTTTGGCATTTTCAATTTGGACAAAATTATTTCTTACTTGGCTCTTATTTTTGAAATTTTAACAACAGATTCATAAAGTTTACCTCCGCTATTAAATCAATCGTTTGTCTAAAACTCAAATAAAAAAAATATACTGCTGACCACCTCTCAAGAATGCTTACATTGTCGTCATTAAGAAGCTCACGTTAGGCCGTCTGCTTTGGGGGGAGGTGAGACTGTACGATAGCATGACATCATTCAGCTTTTCATATTTTTTATTTAATCCCTAGGCCCTTCAGCTTCTCCCCTCAAATTACAAACCATTCATTCACCAGAAGCTTTGTGTTAAAGTAATTTTTGTAATTACTTCCTACCAGCGGGAAACAAGGAATAGTAAGCCTTTATCTCCCGGCTTCCTTTCAGCATTTTCGTTTTCCTGCAGGAACCCAAGTGCTTGCGTGGCTGGTGTGGTTGTCATGGTGCTGTGAAGGAGTGTCTTTGTCCCAGGTGGGAAACATGGAAAAGTCAGAAATGATTTAGGAGTTGCTCCTGGTTGCTGGGGAATGGAACCATGAAAGAAGAACCATAATTATGGGAAGAGTGTTTTATTTTAGTGATGCTGGAGTGCCTAGGTGCAGAGTCTTTCTCTGAGTGCACAGATATGTCCCTAGGTTCTCTAATCCTTCATGCTGGGAAGGCCTTATGATCTGTGCCCTAATCAAATAGGACCTTTGGTGGGCTTTGCAAACCTCCATGAAAAAATATCAAAGAATAGAACTCAATCTTAGCAAATGTTTTAGTAAGTTAAGGCATGGAACATAATATGTCTACAATATTAAGATGTCAAATAGCAACTGTTCTTTTAGTTAGGTGTTAAGTTATAAACCATTTATAGCTGCATCAGTCTATCATCTAATCTAAGGGTCAGTCATGTGTCAAGGCTACTTCTATTGGGTTCATAATGAAGTCCTAATAATATGTATGGGATTTGTTTTTAGATTTATTTAGTATATTTCACAATCCAGGTATTTATAACAATGATTGACAAAAATGATGGCTCTGTGGAGATTGAATTATTACATTATTAGTCATGAAACAGAGTGATAGTAAAAGGGTTTTCAGATGTGAAACCTAAAGGATATTTATTTTCTTTTATTAAAATACCTATGGGGGGCTGAAACTGTAGCTCAGTGGTAGAGTGCTTGCCTAGCATGTTTGAGGTACTGGGTTCAATCTCTATACCACATAAAATATAAGTAAATGAAAAAAAAGGTATTGTGTCCATCTACAACTAAAACATATGTGTATATATATGTATATGTGTATATATGAGTATATATACATACTTATGTAAATAAAATACCTACTGGGCCTATTATATCCTATATGAATTAACTCAGTTAAAGGACCTTATTATGAAACCTATAGGCAAGGATTAATGTGTTACAAATGTAATTCAACATATTTTCCCACTAAAAAAATTGAATATAGAAAAATACAAACCATACTGAAACTTCAGGGCTCTGGATCACTTTTTGTTATTAATATGGCATTAATTGAAGTAGAGAATTGGAAGGTTTTAGATATATCTGAGTGACGAAAAATTGTAGGCAGTGAATTTATGTTAGGGTAGAAAGCTAATTTAGGTAATTTGAACCAGCTCTTGATTCATAAATAAAATGGTTGCCTATTCAGAAGCAACTATATCAATTTATTGATTCATGAGGGAGCAGTTCATACCAAGAAAAGGCTTTATAATTTTTAAAAATGTATTTGCTGTGTGTGGATGGAAAAATATATCAGCTATCAAAATATACATTTAATATTTAGTTTCACTCATGACAACTACTTTTGCTTAGGAGGAATATGCTCTATTTTTAGTAGAATGCATTTTATAAAGTATATTTTGCCTCTGCCTGTGCCAAGTGTGTCAGTTTAAACACATTTGAAGCCAGTACTGGTTTTCTCTCTAGATACAATGATTCTTACATTTTCATGTTAGTAAGTGGAAATCAATTGTGTAAGGAAAGCAAATATTTTTGGAGGTTTAATAACCTGTTCTTTCACCATTTCAATTTTTAACATGTGAGTGCTATTTTTTTTCTTCTTTACTTTCTGTTTTTTTTAAGATCTTTAATGTAAGAAAGGAGAGGCATTTTGGGTGCAGCTGGAACAAGCACTAGTAAGGAGGCCTTCTCTTTCTCCTTTCTCCTCAATACAGTGGCTCCAGAGCTGGCCTCACATCCATATCCTCATGGATAGCATTCCTCTAATGTGTCCTTTCTTTGGCCATCTAAAAGCATCAAACTTAGGGAGACTGGAAGACCTCCTCCCTCCAGTTTTCCTAAAGTACAACTTTCCATCAGGTCCTACCTCCTATTTCGGTTGGCCAGCATCCTGGGCCACACACATATTTCTTCCTCTCTTTCTTTAGCATCTTCTTTCACTTGCATCCCTGATGCACTCATGGCCTGAATAAATGCCTCAAGACAGCTGAGGAAGGCCAGACTCTTCCTGTGGTGGTGAAGGGAGCAGGTGCAGCTCCAGGGTTTCTGTCTTTGTTCTGAGGTATCATCACCCACAGGGCCTTGGTCATAATGACCAATGGCCACATTAACAATCACTGGGCTTCATCACTCAAGGGCAGGGACCACATCTTTATCTTTGAATCTTTACATGAAACCTGCCAGCTATGACACTTTTTAGCATCTTACTAAGCATTTGAAAAATATTTATAAATCTGAATTAGGCACTTGTGCAGTTTTTTCATCTTTGAAAACCATTGTAACTGTTTACAATGTAAACACATATTAACTTGTTCAATGCCTTTGCCCAGAGATTTTTTGCCATTATTTCAGATTATAAAGCATTTTCAAATTTTGTATATATTCATTTTTTTTTTATACCGGGGATTGAACTCAGGGGTACTCAACCACTGAGCCACATCCCCAGTCCAATTTTGAATTTTATTAGATACAGGGTCTCACTGAGTTGCTTAGCACCTTGCTGAGGCTGGCTTTGAATTTGAGATCCACCTGCCTCAGCCTCCTGAGCCCCTGGGATTATAGGCATATGCCACTGTGCCAGCAA